ACTCCCACATATCCAAACTGATTCTACGCGATATTCATCAAGAGGTCGGACACTCTGGGAGGAACCACATGCTCTCCAGACTAGGCCAGAAATTCTGGTTACCCTCTGCCAACTCTTCTGCAAGGAAAATAATAAAGGCTTGTGTTTTTTGTAGACGCATGCAAGCTAGAGTTGGAGAACAAAAAATGGCTGACCTACCTGAAGATCGTGTGGCTCCAGACCTTCCACCTTTCTCTCATGTGGGAATTGACTATTTCGGACCCATCGTGGTTAAAAGAGGTCGAGGCCAGGTGAAGCGGTGGGGGGTAATATTCACCTGCCTTGTGAGTCGAGCTATTCATCTGGAGGTGGCGAGTACCCTGGATACTAACTCCTGCATCAACGCCATAAGGCGGTTTTGATGTCGAAGAGGACCAATTCTAACAATCAGAACAGATCGTGGGACCAACTTTGTAGGCGCTCAGAAAGAACTGGAGACTGCTCTAAACCAGCTTGATCACAAAAGGATCCAGGATTCCCTGCTCTCTGAGCAAGTCAGGTGGCTGTTCAATCCCCCATCAGGAGCACACTTTGGAGGAGTGTTGGAAAGACTGATCCGGCTGGTGAAAAAAGTACTCTTTTCAGTTCTTCAACATCAGGTCATGGATGATGAAATGCTACAAACTGCCTTTTGTGAAGTTGAATCTATTCTCAATGACAGACCAATCACAACTGTGTCAGCTGATCCTAATGATTTAGAACCCCTCACGCCAAACCACCTGCTGCAGCTGAAAACCAAACCACTCTTACCACCTGGACTCTTCTGCAAAGATGACCTCTACACCAGAAAGAGATGGAGACAAGTTCAATACATTGCAGACCTCTTCTGGCAGAGGAGGGCTAAAGAATATCTGCCACTCATGCAGCAAAGGCAAAAGTGGGTCAACACTAGAAGGAATCTTCAACCCAATGATATTGTGGTCATCGTCGATGAAACGGCACCAAGGAACTCGTGGCCCCTCGGCCGTGTGGTTAAAACCCTGCCCGGACCCAAAGGTCTGGTCAGAAGTGTGTTAGTTCAGACCAAGACTAACATCCTGCAAAGGCCCATTAGTAAGCTCTGTCTACTCCTGGAAGCCAACTGAGCCAAGAGCTAGCCAATGCCCTACCCCTACCCCTATCCCCTGCACACACACACTGTCTTTCTTACATCTTTCCATACACAAACCTCTCAATTTCAAACTACACTGATACCCTTTGACTATTGTCTCCTGCCTCAGGGACAGTGAGTGGTGAAACCACCAAAGACACTGATGCAGCATGAACTTTGGGGGGGATCTAAGTGGGGGCTAATTGAAATGACTTGTTGAATGTATATATGCATATTAGTAGATTTTGTATGATAAACAAAAATGTAATTAGATATTTTGCGTCGTCTCAAATATTTAAAGGTGTTACCTGGCTCCATAGAATGTTTTGTTGTAATTGATTTGCTATTGCATCACAATTAGGGGCCGGTATGATGAAGCCATATCTAGGAGCTTATATTATTTAATAGTTATCCATTTATTTTATTGTTCTTTTTTGTTTATAGTAAATCTTCCTTTTAATTCTTATTTAAGTTGATCAAATAAGTTGTACCGGGCCTCTGTTTTGTAAAGACAGCCTTTGGGCACCGGAGGAGGAGAGACCGGCTCATTATAAATATGGGAAACAGGTGGTAGTGAGCGGCGCACCCGGTAGGCTTATGGTTTGTTACCATCGGGTAAGAAGGAAGAGAAATGCTTGATGTGTTGACAATAAATTGCACTGAAACGACTTTTGCTCGGACCTTGATTTTTACCCATGCGTAAGATTCGCTGACGGGTGCCTCGGCGGCACTTTGCGTTATATTTCTTTCTTATATTTTTATGATTTTGGCCGCTATACTCAGTTAATCCACTCTGGCTCCGGTAACCCCAAAACACTCTTCTCTACAATAAACAAACTCCTCAGCCCCCTGGACACGACCACTCAGTCATTCACAGTAGACAAATGCAGCTCTTTTCTCACATTTTTTCAAAGCAAAATAGACAACATTTACAGCAGCTTAACCACTAGCACACCAGCTCTCCCTCAAGCCACCTGCCCCCCCCTTATCCTGCCAACCCCTGTCCCAGTTCTCCCCTGTCTCCCCTACTGACCTCTCTGATTGCTGTAGTGATGAGTGAACATCACTACAGCAATCTGTGAGGAGTCACAGGAATGAAAACTGCCACCTGCACCCTGGACCCCATTCCTTCCAGCTTTGTTAAGGCCTGCCTTCCTACTCTCTCTTCACTCATCACTACAGCAATCAACTCCTCCCTGTCTTCTGGCACCATCCCACCGTCCCTCAAAATAGCTGCTATCACCCCTATTCTGAAAAAACCCGGACTAAACCCTGACAACCAATATATCCAGAACTCCGCCGCCCGTCTACTCACCCACACCCGAATCCGTGAACACATTACACCCATCCTCATCAAGCTCCACTGGCTCCCCATCCCCCAGAGAATGTGTAGGGCTGAAGGAGGTCAGAGATGTATGGAGGGGCTAGGGAGTGGAGAGATTTGTAGGTTAGCAGGAGGAGTTTGTACTGGATGCGTGACTTGACCGGGAGCCGGTGGAGGTGGATGAGGGTAGGGGTGATGTGTTGCCAAGGCTTAGTGCGGTGAGGAGCCTGGCTGCAGAGTTCTGGACGTACTGGAGCCCGTCCAGGGCTTTGCTGGTGACCCCGAACAGAACTCCATTGCAGTAGTCCAGACGAGAGAAGATGAAGGTATGAATTATTATTTCTGCAATGGGGTTGGGGAGAGAGGGCCGGGGTCTGGAGATGTTTCGTAGGTGAAAAAATGCAGTTTTGACAGTTGACCTGATGTGGGAGTTGAAGGTGAGGCTAGAGTCCAGAGTGACGCCCAGGCTGCAAAACCTCAGGGGAAGGGTGGATGGAGCCGCCATTGACTGTGAGGAACAGATCTCCAACCTTCTGGAGCAGTGTTTTTGGGGCCACAACCATGAGCTCTGTTTTGTTTTTGTTGACTTTCAGTAGGTTTGTTGACATCCAGGTTTGGATGTCGCAGAGGCAGTTGACTACTGACAGTGGGGGTAGCTGGGATGATGGATTGGTACTGATGTAGAGTTGGGTGTCGTCGGCATAGGAGTGGAAGTTGAGACCATGTTGGCGGAGTGTTTCACAGAGGGGGAGCATGTAGATGATAAATAGAAGGTAGTCTGGAGGGGGCTTCGCCGTGTGTCATCAGAGCTGTCAGAGTCGCAGTCAGAAGACTCATCTGAAACACTTTGCAAGAAGCTGATGGTCTCTGCTCCAGTCAAAACGTGCTGGTAGCATCGTCTCGCATGAGTCTTCATTTATCCGATGTCGTGCTGCTTTTTCCTGAACATGCTCTGGAGACCTTTCATTACGTCTTCGCTCAGGCCGAATGGTGAATCTTAAATGTATAAGATAAAGACAATATCAGTTACTTCATCACCTATCACTGATGCAAAGTAAAAATGTAATATATACTGTACTTTGCAGGCAGGACAGCTCTTTCAGGGAATCACTGCGGGTTGAAAGGACCTTCCAGTGGTGGTTCATTTCTGTGACGAGAATCTTCTTCTCCTCCTGTAGTGTCTTCACAGCCATGACAAGGTCGAACGCTCTTCTCTTTGTCCTGAGGTCGAAAGACTCTGGAAAGCATTTATGACAAAACATGAATTCATGTGTATGAAAGATCAACATCAAAGAATCTATGAAGTCTTACATAGTTTTATATATCAGACATGAAGGTTTTCCACATTTGCTGTGAGCATTCAGCAGACTGGTGGACTTACCACTGTTTGGTAGCTGCCATGGCCAAGCTTTCTCCACAGACAGAATGGCTTGGAGGCACAGAGCTTCTGTGCTTGGAACCATTGAGTTGTATTTCTCAACTGTGGCTGTCAGGACCCCTTACTCATCCTTGATCTTGCGGCGGATCCTGGAACGACCTTTGTTGCTGTCTGTGTCTTTGTAGAGATGCTGCGAACGTCTCTTGACACTTACTGTCAGCATTTCGATCTTGCTGGCCAAGGCAGCAGCATCCCTTGGGTTGTTTGTTGTTGCTTTTTAGACGAAATAGGCGTATTAAGCACAGTAATTCACAATAACAGTGACATTTGATCAAATGTTTTAAGATTATTTTATTACATATGCATCATGAAAAATAAGTAATGCAAATGTATGTCAATAGAGGGTTATCACTAATTCTGAAAATTAAAAAAAAATTGAAAAATCATGACTACAAAAAAGTTGAAAAACTCCATTAAGATTGTCCTCACTTTCTGCCCACTCATTCACATCTCTGATCCAGTCTTCCAGCTGCTTTTCAGTCACTGCCAACTCAGCCTTCATGGACTCCAGGTTCTGCAATTGCTTTTCCAGAGCTTTTGTGGTCTCCAAACGTCAAACAATTAAAGACAAGTAAATACAGAAATCTACATTTAGGCTGCAGCCACAAATAATTCTAACTAAGAATATGTCATTCTTCTAAAACGATGTTATTACCTTTAGATATCTGCGGGACAGTGAGGTGGCCAAGTTGCTGACTTTTTGCTGATTCCAGCGCATGGTCATCAGCGTCAGCATGTCTGTACGTCCTGCACAAGAGAATATCACGTTATTATTATTCCTCTTACTTCTTATACTGTAACTGGGGTTTATACTATATTGCCATCCTAAATTGTGCTCTATGGTCATAACCGTCAATGAGCTTTTATGAGTTTGTGTTGTTGGTGTAATTTGCTAGTGTAATCTGTGCCTTTCTGATTTTTTTTTAAAAACTGACAGTAAAGGTTCTATTGTAACTCACCTGCTTTTGACATGTATTTTGTGGTCACTGCTATCCGAGAGAGGAAGGCATTGACCTGTTCCACCTCCTCCCCTAGGGTTAGTCCATGCCCCACTTCATTTCACCCGTTTAAAATATATTCAAGTACGACTCGTTACAACTTGTCACTATTCACAAGGAGGTTTTTACATCAAGTGATTGTGTCACATGGTAACAATTCATTACTTCACATTTGAAGTCATGCGCTTTGGCATGAAACACTGAGAGAAAGGGCTTCATGTCGAGAAGATGCTGGAGCTCTGGACAGCTTTTTGTGATTCTCTGGAGGTAGGGCCAATATTTGCAGGTCACATCCATGCAAAAGAACATACTACTGGCCAGCTTTGTCTGTAGGTACAGGGGATAAGCAAAGATTTCTCCCCTGTACATATTGAGAGCACAGAGGAGCACAAATCTTGAGACGTCTTCATCCCTGGCTATAAAGACACCGTCAAAGATGGCCTGTTCCTCAGATCTAAATAAATCAAAGGAGCAATGTATGACATCTCAGATGATAAGGTTGATTAGTTCACATCAAGATACTTTTGTTTCGTTATCTGTTCAAATACTGTGACATTATATATTTTCTATGGTACCTAGCTGCATTCTTGAAACGGTAATGCTTGCGGTTTCCATCTACGGAAACTGCAAGCATATCAGGGCTGCACGCAGGACAGGTGAAGGGCTCCTCCTTGCACATGATGTCCACCTCATAACGCACAGCCTCCCGCTCAAAGAAACTTTTGATGAAGCTGTCAGTTGAGATCTTCCCAGTTTATAACAAAATAAGGACATCAACAGATAATTATATGTCAAAAATAAATTATAAATTATAAGGACACAGCTTACAATTTTACAATACAAATAGATCAAAAAGGACAAGTAACTTCAATACTCACACGGCCGAAGCGCAACGTTCGCTGATCGAGCATCCTTAAATATGCCTGAAAGGATAGTCCAGGTGCAGCCATTTTCATTTCTTCAAATGAGAAGAAAACATCTGTGGCATAAATGGTGGCGAAGTGAAGGGTAGCTGGCCAGTAGTCACTCCGAAGAAGGTCGTCAACCCCAGTCGTCCATGTCGCAGCGCATGCTTCACAAGCCAACTCTGGCATGCTTAGCTCATGGCGTCCTTGAAAAACAGACAAGGTGTTTTTAATGCATTTGGTATTCTTTACTCAATACCCATGTTAAGTTTTAATAAACAAGCTATCCCACATGTCTTTGAGAAGGGTTGGATATTATCAAGAAGAAACTTCAATAACATCTATCTTAAGAAACAAGACAAACATTCTTCCCATTCATTGTGATCACAGTCACAGTCTTTCCTGGCTTGAGGCTCAATGCACAACCACAGATTGTGTCCGGGATCTCCACAGGTACAAACCGCACTGGAAACAAATTCAAATGGAAATTAAAAATAATTTGTCTCTTTTGAGAAATATATCATTATTATGTGACAGATTTAGGATTTAACTTTAAATCAGAAGATTAAAAAGAGACTTAAGCACACTGCTGGGAAATATCAGAGATCTTCAGGAAGCTCACATTTTCAACATTACATTACATTGCATTTAGCTGACGCTTTTATCCAAAGCGACTTACAATAAGTACATTCGACCAGGAAGACACAACCTTGAAGAAAACAGAATCATAAAGTACATCAGGTTTCATAGAGCCAAACATTTCAAGTGCTACTCAACTGGCTTTAGGTAAGCCAGTCCTTTATTAGTATAAAAGTGCTTCGTTAATAGTTCTATCGCTCGAAGTGGAGTCGAAAGAGATGAGTTTTCAGTCTGCGCCGGAAGATGTGCAAGCTATCTGCCGTCCTGATGTCAATGGGGAGCTCATTCCACCATCTTGGTGCCAGGATAGCAAACCCACGTGTTTTTGCTGATGGGAACTTGGGTCCCCCTCGCAACGAGGGTGCAGCGAGTCGTTTGGCTGATGCAGAGCGTAGTGCACGCGCTGGGGTGTACGGTTTAACCATGTCCTGGATGTACGAAGGGCCAGATCCATTCGCAGCATGGTAAGCAAGTACCAGTGTCTTGAAGTGGATTCTAGCAGTTACCGGAAGCCAGTGAAGGGAGCGGAGGAGCGGAGTGGTGTGGGAAAATGAAGTTCTCAACAAGTCCAGCAAGAAAATGTACATTCACAAACCAAAACTTACCGCAGGAGCAAAGGGCCATATTTACTACATGTGTTGTTGAGGCCAATGGCTGGAAGTAACCTGCAGTGGTAGCATCTCTGTTGTGGAGGGGGTGTCTGGTGTGCATGCTGACATCACAGTCAGCACAGAAGAAGGGATGTGGTTGGCAATCTCGGCACCGGACAACAGACGTTTTGCTCCAACACTGTTGGCAAATGTGTGTTCCCACATTTGCTTGGGCCACTACGGTGTTAACCAGATGTGGTCTCGCTGCCCTCCAGCTCTCTGAAAAAAAACTTTTTCGAGTGCTCCAGTTGGTCGACGCCAGCAGAGAATCACTTGGGGTTTGTGCTACCACCTCATCTCCTGTAGTATCGCTCAGAGACTGCTGGAGATCTCGTAGAAACCCCTCTGTTAAAATGGTACAATAAATAAATAAATATAAAATAAAGTCCAAAGCACAATGATTATTTTTCTTTAAAACATACTGGATGGAGTGGTTTTGAAAGCTGTAACTACTGTGTTCTTAATTCTAGCAAATGACGAAGTTTAGAAATTAAGTACGTATCACATAAAGATACAAGTATGAATATGTGTTTCGGGCTAACCAGACCAAATGAAGTACATACCAACAGTCTCTGGAGCGATAGCTGGAGCAAATACCAGATCACAGTCAGGAGCATCAACGGGGGGATCAGTGTTACGACTGCAGCCAGCTGTATCAGAAAAAATAGTTTTTTCATTTATACCATTAAATTGTACTACTTTTCACTTACCAAGAGTTATGTTTTCATTCATTTCATATACTCAAGTGCCTAGAAATGTATATCTTATACTGACCCTGATTGGAGTCATTCCGGGTTGAACGTGGTCTTGCAAAGATCAAGTTTCCCTCACTGTCTCTCTTCTTCCAGCACACCTTTCGCACTGATGGCACTGCTCTTGCTGCTTCCAGTTTACAAAGCAAATCATCAGCACTCCGTAGGTCATCCCTGAACTCTTTCTGGTCAACCAGCTCATCTGCGCTTCTCAGGAGATCCTCGAGAACAGAATCACTCATTATAGTGAAGAGACACAGACGAAAGACTGACAACAGAGTTAGACAGAGAAAGAAAAAGAGAGATAGGAAGAGGCTATGAAGTACAACACAGCAAGGACAGTTTAACAAGACAGACGTGGCTCTTAAAAGTGCCTTTGGGTTGTTTGGAGTTTGGAAAAAGCAAGGGTTGTTTTTTGGAGAACAAATTGCAGCATCTGTTGAGAGAAAACAACATCATTTAGAAACTCAAAACTAAACAAACAATGCCAGTGTAATTGTTGTTGTTTACAACTTGTCTACTTGGCTAATAACCAATTAATGCTTACTACTAGGGATGCCAGAAACTGACCATGATCAATTTCGAAAATTGGACAGCCCTGGCGAATATTAATCGAATATTAATCGAGGAACTTGGAGGAAGCCAGCAGCGCAGACTGCGCAGAGTGCAGCAGTCTGCACTCTGCAGGCTTCCTCCAAGTTTACAGTAAAAGAAACTGGTGGTGTGACCAATGGCCATTTACAATTATTAATACTATTACTATTATTAGCATTAGTCTATATTTTGGTTGAAACTAAGCCAGGAAAAAAAAGAAAAATATAAATAATAATAAAACATATATATAAATAAAATCTAATGACATTTTTTTTTTTTTAGATTATGGAGACTGTAACGAATATTCGAAAAATCGCTGGCATCCCTACTTACTTCTGTTGTCATTAAAGGTATTTTCACACCATCGCAGAGCAAAATCACTGCCACCAGTCATTTAAATAAGTAATGTGTACAAAAATTATAAAAGTATTATTATATTATTAATAATAAAAACACATGTATACAAAGTATTATTAAAACGTATTCATAATGTATAATGTTAGCAGATTTAGACTTATACCTTTTGTCTCCTGCAGCAGAAAGGTGAATAATCTCAGCAGTTCAAGTTTAGCCATTCATCACGGCGTTATTTATTATAGGCACACATCTCAAGAGGCTTGAGGACAGAGAGAAGGGGCGTGACTTCCAACGGTCTTATACCCCAGGTAGTGACATCACAATCATGTGGTACAGCCCTAACCAATGAACACAGTTAGTAGTCGCAGCTACTTACATAAACAATATATGGTACACAGTAATACATGGAGTCATACACTATACATGTCTGTATGTTATATCTCAACACTCCCACTTATGAATTATGTGCTTACTGTTTACCTGTTCATATATAATCGACAAAACAAAAACATGGTACAAATTATTTTAATGTGGGCTTCTTCAACACATTTAAAACATTCAAATGTGGATCCCTTCAAATGTCCTCAGCTTCAGTTTGGAAACAGGCTTGGTCATCACATCTGCAACCATTTCGTCTGTAGGACAATAAAGCAACACACTCTCACTCAGGGGCGGACTGGCCTTCGGGACGTTCGGGACGAATCCCGATGGGCCGGTACTGAAGTGGGCCGGTCGGACGATGTGGGCCGGCCGGTAACCGGCAGGGCTCGACATTAAATGGCCCGCTGGCCCGGAAGCACTATTTAGACACCCCGGGCCAGCATAACGTACTTAACGTACTAACGTACTTGCCCGCTCGGGCCACTAAAAATATTGCTTTAAAAAAAATTGTCCTGTGGTATTGGTATTTTGACTAGCAATTTAGTTAAATTGTTTCGTTTATCAACGCTACAACATAGCGTTCCGTGAGTCGGTTGTCGTTGTTGTTGGGTGAAAAGCAAACAGCTGTTTGCTGCGGAGCGCAGCAGGAGCAGGCTCCGGTGAGCGTGAGCGCGCTCCTTCACTACAGACTATCGCGCCACCTAATCATTCGCCAAATGTTTTTAATACCAGCGGTAAACAATCTTCAAATAAAAGAAAGTCACCGGAGGAGTTAAAGGAAAGTGACAGGGAGTATGAGAAGAAGAGGGAGAGAAAGTTTCAGCCAGCTTGATCGATGGAGTTGGCTGCAGTGACGCGTCCTAAAACCCTTTTATAATCTATCGATTAGATTTATGATTCGAAAATTATAAAAGTAGGGTAGACATGTGGAGATTATCCGGCTGAACAAAACGTGCATTTATCAAACAGGTTTGTTTTCCACATACCTTATTTCCAGCTATTTTCCAAAACCCTTGTCGAGGGAACCAGCAGCTTACTTCCTGGTTTTAGGACGCGTCACTGGCTGCACCTCTCAATATGATGCCAATATAAACAAGGTCTTCTGTCGGCTCTGTACATCAATGCCGACCTATGCTGACAAGTAAGTGAAGAGTAGACAATATAAAGGTATTGGCGAAATGTCCCAGCAGTTTAGGATAATGAAGGTTCAGGTTCTAATCAAATCAATTACATAGCCTGACAGGAAGGCAGAAAGTGCATTATACAAATAATAATAATAGCAGCAATTTTTTAACAATGACCACAATATCATTATTTTAATAAACCAAATATGAACAATTGAGGAAAATGAGGAAGAACTGATGATTAAAATGTTGTAGTACAAGTAGTAATGTAGTTAGTGCATACATTACTATTGCAACAAATGTGTTAATTTTCTTCATTATTAGTCGATTTTTTTTTTGGACGAATGCTCCGGGTCAGAGGGTACAATGGTGGGGCCAGTGATAATACAAGTCCACCGGCCCGGAGGTAGACATTAATTACCCTTAATGTCTACCGCTAGTAAATTGTCTACCCCCCCCCCCCCCCCCCCGTCGACAATTTACTAGCAGTATTTACTTGCGGTACCGCGGTGGGCCGGCGTTACCGAAGTGGGCCGGTCGAGAGTCCCGGGCTGATTTGTAGTCCCAGTCCGCCCCTGCTCTCACTCCATAATCGTCACGGAGCGACGCTTGGTCAGGGGTCCCCAGGCGTGCAGTTGTGACGCTCCTAGGCTCCTTCAGCTTCATAAAGGGACGCAAATAGCTTTCAACTGATTGCAATGTATTCCCATCTGCGGCGGGATTTGACGCTCATGGAAGCACGGCATTCGTTTGTGTCGGCTGCCCTTAAAGGCAATGTGAGCGTCCATTCCCATTGGATAACGGAGAATTGTACACCCGGAAGTAAGTATTCCCCTTACTGTCGATTGATTTTACAGTGATATCTGCACTACTCATCGACTAAAAAACACCAGATTATCCTTGTTAATTACACAACATTGATTGGTTTAAATTGTGTGCAATCCTTTTGTATTTTTCCCCTTCGATTCGGAGAAACTAATATTTTTTCGGAGTAAAGGATGGCACTAGTAGTCCTACACTACCCAGAATCCCCAGCTATCGTTTAGGACTACACCATGTGCTCTGTTTAACAAACCCCGTGATTAGTTCTCAAGCTCTGTGATTGGTTGACCTCCAACTGCATTCCATATGAGAAAAAACGTTTCTTAAAAGATAAAATCATACTTTATTCAGCAGTGCTTGCTTTACTCTTTGAAAGTCATCACATGAATGCATTGTAATAAATGGTTCGGCTGCATTAAATATATTACACATCTGTCGTAGTTCTTTATTTGTATTTCTCTACAGAGATCGGGCTCAGAATAGACCGGAAACTATTCTTTTACCGTTCAGTTTGAATTTCACAATAAAGTTAGTAGTAATATTTTGTTTTGATATTATTGTTTTTTATTAACTACTAGACCGCTGGGTCATGTTAAGACCATCTTTTCTGTGTTGCTGTGGGTTTTTTCCATCGCTTTTGTGTTACAAATATCAAGACAATAACTAAATATATCCGTCGTAAACTAAACCAGAAACAGCAGTATATTTTATTTTGTTAACACTGTAAACTTGACAACTTTTTAACCCAAACCACCTACTGGTTAAAGCACGTTATTACACGTTTAGAGTAATGCAATGCAGGTAGATTGTGTTGCTTTTTAATGACTGTTTAAAATGCCTTTTTCTTAATGTATTTTATTATTATTAACTACTTGTTATTTGTTGCTAGGGACGCTGCTATCGATATTATTTCTGTTATGTTGTGTAACTGTTTAATGGTGTTATCTTTATTGCTACCCCCTTCCCCGTCAATGTATAGTGTTGGTCCACAGCGCAAACGTATTATTTTAACAAAATCTGCATCTAAAATTGTGGCATAGATAGCCTACGTTATTTTCCCCTGTGCAATTCTCCATTTACTCAACAATAACACATAATTATCCTTGTGTTTATTTATTTGTTTGATTAATAAACACAAGTTGGAGCCCGTCAGGACCGAGGGTCGGAGCAGCTCATTTGCTTTAGAGAATATTACACCGGGAAGTAAGTATTCTCTCCGCTTCGCTTGACAAACCCCGTGATAGTCCTCAAGCTCTGTAATTGGAGAGTGTGCTCCGAGGGTTACGCCGAGCCTCGAACAGCACTTGAAATGGGATGGAACCATGGCAGACTGTCTAAAACTGGATTTGAACGGGTCCACCGCGTCCCCCCCTCCCCCCACCCCGTCCCCAGAACTACACATGCTGGCTATTGTGTTTCGCAACATGTTCTCTATCCATGGCACATCTCTACTGGGAGTTGTAGTTTTAAAAGACGTTTTCGTATTTCCCATAATAAGAAGTTGCCAGTATTAAACTGTGTACATCCCTGGAGGTTTAGGGGATAGGAAACACTCACATTTAAAACATATAATTAATAAATGGGTGAAAATGGCTTGTGCCCATAATGGGCAGCATTAATATATATACCCACATGCCAGTTAAGGTCAGAAGAGCTTTATTTAACAGCTGGTCTTATGTCTGTGACCCCTCCTGTTGTTAATTGACAACATTACATTACATTACATTAATTTATAAGCCTGAACATGCACTTGTCAAGGTTCAGAGGCACATTTTGCAAATATGGCAGTAGCCATCGATCATAAGATAAGATATACTTTATTGATCCCAAGTTGGAAATATTTGCGTTACATCAGCATGTGTAACGGTTGTAAATATGCAGTGGTGTTTATTTGTAAATCATTTTGTATAATCACACAAATTCTGTGTTTTATATTTAACAATTCTGTGTTCTTTATTTATTGATTGTTCAATACCTGACAAGGCCGGAGATGAAATATCTACATACATCTTATAAGAGTATAATACATTATGTATAATATCAGTTAAAATAAGTGCTTCAGCATAGTTAACATTGCTGGAGGTATGTACAAATATTGATAGATGTCTTGTAATGCACTATTGAGGAACCTGCGACCCAAGTTTTTCATTCAATGCATAACTACACCGTAGTTGTGTATAATATGATATGTCAATAAACCTTAGAAAATCTTGAAATCTTGAAAGGGATGTGCAAAATAGTCATTATATACAGTCTTTAATTATCTATTAGTAGAGAATAACGAGTAATGAATATACTTTATAGGGATCCTATTAATATCTAATAATAAAAATAATACATTTCAATAACATGCTTTAACCACTAGGTGTCCCTTTATATCAGCTGTGCACCTTTATGGTGTAAATACAGCCTATCTACCAATTGGATCAAATATAAAAGTCAGCCGAATTAGTGTTGATACTGCAAGGAGACGTATTGTGTGAAAAGAAATGTAAGATGTTGTTTAATTGCTGATATATTTATGATCCACGTCACGTTTTCAGTTCCTCATGTTTGTCTAGAAGTCTTCTCATCAGGGCTCTATAAATAGAGAACTACGGCAGATGTGTAATATTTAATGCAGTCGAACCGTGTATTACAATGCCGTTATGTGATGACTTTCAAAGAGAAAAGCAAGCACACTCGGAATAAAGTTTTTTTTAATTTTTTTTTTATGTTTTCGGTCTGTTTCCGGTATTTGTTAATGACGATGTGCTGTGAGATGTGAGACTGGAATTGCACAGGGGAACATAACGTATCTTTAGATGCGGATTTTGTTAAACTAATCCGTTTGCGCTGTGGACCAACACTATACATTGACGGGGAAGGGGGTAGCAATAAAGATAACACCATTAAACAGTTACACAACATAACAGAAATAATATCGATAGCAGCGTCCCTAGCAACCACCTTGGTAACAATGAAAACGTTCTATGGACGCAATTTCCTGAAGTAATCTTCGTAATAACTAGCAAACTAAAGATCATGTACATCCACTGCACACATAATCTGAAATAACAACTCATATTTCTAGCATCAAATGACATCAAAACGCATTTTAATGGCCAAACTAACTTTGAAATAGGCATTTTCCACCGAGAATAAAACAAAGTTCGGCCATGTTTTTTTTTTTCTGCAGGGAGAAATTTGAAGATCACGTGACATAGACGCCAGCCATTGGAATGCATGTTGAAAAAAAACGGGGTTTGTCAAACAGAGCACATGGTGTAGTCCTAAATGATAGCTGGGGATTCTGGGTAGTGTAGTGTCTTCTGCCATCCTTTACTCCGAAAAAATATTTGTTTCCCTGAATCGAAGGGGAAAAATACAAAAGCATTGCACACAATTTAAACCAATCAATGTTGTGTAATTAACAAGGATAATCTGGTGTTTTTTAGTCGATGAGTAGTGCAGATATCACTGTAAAATCAATCGACAGTAAGGGGAATACTTACTTCCGGGTGTACAATTCTCCGTTATCCAATGGGAATGGACGCTCACATTGCCTTTAAGGGCAGCCGACACAAACGAATACCGTGCTTCCATGAGCGTCAAATCCCGCCGCAGATGGGAATACATTGCAATCAGTTAAAAGCTAATTGCGTCCCTTTATGAAGCTGAAGGAGCCTAGGAGCGTCACAACTGCACGCCACGGACACTGACCAAACGTCGCTCCTGGACGATTATGGAGTGAGAGTGTGTTGAATAAACCAGTGTCATCTTTCCCTGCCTTATGGTGGACCTTATGAAGTGGTACTTAATATCCACGTGTTTACACCTTTGTCTACAGAGAGGATTTTTAGCAAGGGCTATTTTCCCCTGATTTTCCTCGTTTACAACTGTGTTCTTATACACGTATGTGTCTATCCCTTCCAGTAGCAGCTCCAAGTAAATACACTCCTGTATTGTTAGAGTTAGAGCCATATACTCAGCTTCACATGTGGAAAGCGCTACTTTAGGCTGTTTCTTGGTTTTCCAAGAGACTAGTGAGCTGTCCTTACTCATGCTCACACAATACCCTGTCATACTGCGTCTATCTGTTTTATCT